TCCCACGGCTGGGCCCCTTCCAATAACCTCCGTGCCCACGGCTCACGGGTGGGCTGCAGGGTCTGACACCCGCCCCTGGCGCGCAGCCCTCACCGTGAGCGACCCGCAGTCGCATTCCTCTCCAGCCTCCACAAAGCCATTGCCGCACTCCGGGGGGTCCAGCAGCTGCAAGGGGGTAGGGGGACAAGAGGTTCCTGCAGGCCCCTGGAATGGGCATGAGGCACCGTACCAAGAGCCAGCTGGGTGCAGGACATTCCCGAGGCCTTCCCGGCTGCCCCGCCCATTCCCGGCAGCGGGGCTGGGCTCGCCCCAGGACCCCCAAAGGCCCCGTTTGAAGGGAAGCGTCTGTGGCCCTGGGAAAAGCAGCGGGGTGGGGGCACAGCAGCTCCCAGCCCCAGTGCCAGCTCCCCTCTCTGAGCTCCTGCTCCCGGCACCTGGGGGCCCAGCAGCCTCCCCACACAGGAGCACCCCCTGCCCTGCCCCCACGCCTGGGGCCCTGTCACACCTGGGCTTCTGCCCGCCCAGCTCAGCCGCGTGGGGGCTGTTCGGCTGGGGACACTCATGGCCCAGGAGCTGGGTCTCAGAGCCCCAAGCTACCTCCGCCGCTGTCATGTTCCTGGATTTTAAGGGGAGCAGCCAGATGGCTGCTGCACCGCTGGGGGGTGTTTGCCCCAAAAATCGATACAAAGGGGGCCATGTGAGGTGTCAAATGGAAGCTTATTGTCTATCGATTCCGTATCTGCCCTGCATGTACCTGTGTAATGTCTGGGTGTGGAGTTATAAAGATGGACTCTGTGTTGATGCTGAAAGATTCTCTGTCTGAGGAGGAGCAATGGGCCACGCATGTTTGGACAAGCTAATGAGCAAAGCTCCAGGAACAATGGACCGCAGAAGGCCAAAGACACATCTGACCACTGCCATGTGACTGTCTCCAGCTTGGACGAAGCGGAGGGAGGGGATGAAGGAGGGGGAGGGGATATAAATAGGCCATGTGGCCGACTCCATCTTGGTGCTCAGCTCAGCACTTCATCCCAGAGGCAAGAGTGCAGGGACCGAGGAGCCAGAAAGAACTGTGGACCCATCCTGACGTAGGATGTTCACCAAAGACTTTTAACCCAGCAGTTATAACATCTCTGCTGTGAGCCTGCATTGAGAACTGGGAGATTCGATGCATGTAACGTAGGATACTTTAACAACCTCACTCTCCTTTCTTTTAGTAATAAACCTTTAGATGTTAGATTCTAAGGGATTGGCTCAGCGTGGTTTGTGGGTAAGATCCGGAGGGTAAATTGACCAGGGATCTGTGGCTGGTTTCTTGGGACTGGACAGAACTTGTTCGGGGTAGGTGGGATTGGGTTCTAAGACCCCCCACCGGTGTATGAGGCCCGGCGCTATCTGGGGCACGGATATTGCTGGGGGGTCGGAGCGGTTTTGCTCGGGAGGCTTCAGGCAGGCAGCTGAAGCGCTCGGTGGGACTGGTTTGTGGCCTATTTGGGAAGGTCACCAGTCTGGGGGCTGTACGGAGCCCCCACTTTGAGCAATTTGCCCTGAGCGGACGCCCTCGGCTGTGCCCAGACCCGGCCCCCCACCACCGCTGCTGCCTTTTGTTCTTGAGGGTCATTTTTTTAAATCCGCCCTTCTAGCCCCGG